ATTCAGGCCATGCTCTCAGGAGAGTGCAGAATGACTCATCAATGCTCCTGGTCTGAGTGTTTCAATTTGAGGTTGGGATTCAGGCCCCATTTGCAGTTTGGAATTGTGTTTTCTATTCTAGGATCAACAGCCAAATATGAAAATTAGAAGTAATGCTATTTACAATTGTGTTAAAAATATGAAACACATAAGGATAAATCTGAGAGAATTTGAAAATTTTATGGGCTAAAAACTAAAAAGAAAATAATAAGAAACATTAAAGATATAAGTAAACTACAAATACATCTTTCTGGTGGGTCAAATATTCAATGTGGTGGAGATAACAATTCTCCCAGAACTGACTGATACCTTTGTTGCAAAAACTTCTAGTAAATGCACTTGCAATGGTGGGGAAGTTCTGAAAAAAAAAAAAAAATAGAAACACTAAAAAATTCTGTGACTGAATTTTAGCCTGGGGAGAATCCTGCATTCCATCCACAGGGCCTGCCTGTGGCTGAGGAGAAGGACACTCAGGAAGTGGTTTGAAGTCAGAGGAAGTGAATCTGGGTGTAGCATGGTCACACTGCTTCTGCCTACGACATAGATGGGTAGTGGACCCGCTGTCTTGAGGGCTAATTCACAAAGTGTGGGTGCAGAAGACCTGGGAGTGGGGAACCCTGGGCACTGAGCCTGTGCAGACTCCTACAATGTGCATCTATGCTGACAGTTCTGTTCATCACCTCTACTTGTTGAAGGACCCTGGACTTGAGACCTGTTGGAGAATTGCAACCAAAAGGGCACTATACAGGGGCGCCTGGGTGTCTCAGTGGGTTAAAGCCTCTGCCATCAGCTCAGATCATGATCCCAGAGGCCTGGGATTGAGCCCTACATAGGGTTCTCTGCTCAGCAGGGAGCCTGCTTTCCCCTCCTCTCTCTCTGCCTGCCTCTCTGCCTACTTGTGATCTCTGTCTGTCAAATAAATAAATAATTATTTTTAAAAAGGCACTTTACTGAGAAAGGCCCGATCTGATTCAGAAGCTTTGACTCTACTTCCAAGTGATCCAAATGGAACCTGCACCCATAATTCCTGAGAAGACAATCTGAAGAAACTGATCATAGAATAGATCACCTCCAACAAATGCCTTGGTCTATGTCAAAAAAGCATGAGGTTGTATCCCTACAACATATGGGGTGTTGTTTGTCTGGACTTGCGGGTGTGTATGTAGTGGGAAGTATGCTTATGGGGGAAATCCCGTGTTCCCTGACATAGGCTTCCTCAAGACTCACATTCTTATGGCTTCCGTTGGACTCAGGATTCAGATTTCCCTGTTCCCCAACACTTATCATAGATTATTTCAGAGAAAAGGACCCAGGAAGGGGCCAGAAAGTTGGAGCTTATGATATAGATATGGAGTAGAGAAATAGACTGAGACAACTCTGCCTTAGATATGGGACCTAAGGAACAAGAGTTTGGATTGTCTACACCACATTCTGGATTCCCCTCTTCCTCACTGTCCCTAACACAACACAGGTAAGGGATCCTGATGCTCATGCACATGGAGGCATCCCTCCCCAGGTGTGCCTCATTCCCTCCACTATGTGGACCCTCCCCTGGGATCACAGCACCTCTCCCTGCTGACTTGGCCTTCCTCAGGGACTGGGATCCCAGGACAGAAAGTCATTATCTACTGCCCTGGAAGAAGCAACCACAATGTGGCTCAAAGGTATAATTTTGACTCATCAGCACTTGATATGTCCTCAAAACTCTGGGCCCATAACAACAACCACATACTCTTGGGATATTTGTTCTCTTTATTGTTTCCATGTCACTCTTGATTGCATCTTAGGGATGAAGCTGAACACCACTAATGGACACAATGAAAAAATCCCAGTATCCTTCTTATGCCTCAGGCATGTGGGGGGGAAGTGAGATTCAAGCTTCATGAGCACAATAGCCAATTTCATCTCTATATGTGGACAATGTTAGGTTGATTGTTTCTCATTTTTTTTTGTCAGTGTTTCCTCATCTGATCAAGAGAGGAAATGAAAAATTAGTTTATATCTGGGCTTCTATGAGTCCCACCCCTACCTCCATACATACAGTGAGTGCAGGTACAGCTGGAAATTACTCTGTTTATACTCAGATTTAAGCCATCTCATACTCAGTAGTTCAAACCTTTCTGCAACCTTGTTGGCAGTCCCAAGTTTTGTTCTCTGAATCCTCAAGTGATATAGCCTTTGGATAAAGTGAGCAGAGTCCCCAAATCTCCCCTCTCCACATAGTTTTTCTTTTTAAAGATATATTTATACTTACTTACTTACTTGTTTGTTTATTTATTTATAGAAAGTGATACTGTGAGGGGAGGGACAGAGGGAGAGAGAGAATACCAAGCAGACTCTCATGACCCTAAATCATGATTTGAGCTAAAATCAAATACTAGACACTCAACCAACTGGGCCACTCAGCACCACTCTCATATTTTATATCAGACTGGTTCCAGTTTCCAGGCTCTGCAGACATCCATCAATAATTTGAGGGTCTGAGCTCCAGAAATTTATCATCTACAGCAGAAGAAGCAGCAGTATATGGATGAATATTATGGCCTGGCAACAAAAGCATCCAGATTGAAACCCTAAACACATATAAGAAACATGATCTGGACCTGGGAGTTTTTGTTTCATTTTCCTCCCAGTTAGAATCTCTGGCTTCAGGTCTATCAAGGAATAAATCCAGAAGGTCTCTTACTTCCTGTCCTAAGATGAAGCTGACCTCTGAGTGCAAACATGGGACAATGTGGCCACAGTATTCTAGATGAATGAGGAATCAAGATTCAGTCTCCCTCCACTCCCTGTGTCCCCTTCACTTTCCAGATATGTACTGCACCTAACTACACATCGTCTACAAACTGTCCTCATCCTCTCAATATATACCCCCAAATCTAGGCCTTGCCAACTACACTTTGTGATACTGTCTCACACTCACAGAAATTCTTTGATGCCAGGGTGGATATAGGAGCCACTTGATGATTTGACAAGAAGACACAGGATCTGATAAAGTTAATGAAAAAAAAAAAAAAACCTCCAGATGCTTCACTGAGTTGAACACTGTGAACATGTGAACCTGATTCACAACATGAATGAGGAGGAGGGTGGAAGGTGGTCCATGGGAACAGATGCAGCTTCTGGAGGAGACTGGGCTTACTAAGCAATTTGGGGGGGAAGGAGATACTGAAGAATGGAGTATGATTTTAAGGCTGCCTTTAGGAACTGGATGGAATGTGAGTGAGCCCTTGGGGAGAAGCTTTGTGGGTAAGGGTGTAGAAATGAGTCCCCAAGCTCACCCCTATGTGCAAAGTATCAACAGCCTCAGTGTTGCCACAGGTCATTCCTCTCCAGATTACAAGGCGGGGGGTGGGGAGATCTTGCTGGGCTCTTTCAGATAGTTATCCAAGACTTCCCTTCTCATGACCCTCTTTTCCTCATGCCGATTTCCACATAGGGATAAAATGCCTCATTATTCCCACATAACATATCCTCACAAGATCTCCAGAATGAGAGAGCTGTCTTCCTGGACTCACTATGTAGGAATCTGGCCTTCTGGAGGACTCAAGCAGAAAATACACACCAACTTCTTTGATATCATGATGGTGATATCAGAAAGGTAATTGTCTGATTTCTTGGGTGAAACACAAAGCTCATCCCTGGAATTGGAGCTGGGGTCAATCACGTGTATTGGAGATGTGGGCCCAGATAGGAGAGGGAAAGGTCAAAATATTTGCTCAAGGGTCCTCACCATAGACATCACTCATCACTCCACCAATGATGCCGTCCACCCTCATCACTTGTTCATGTTAGTATTATGCACTGAGAACTAGCCAGGGGACAGGGACCATGGGTTGCTTTCTCATAAAGTTGTATTTCCTACACCCAGACATTTCTAATCTCTTTTAAAACATAAGACATCTCATGAGCATCTCTTACATCTATCCCCCTATCAGATGAGGACCAGTCTCAGAGGTCCAGCACAGATCACTCTTGACACATACTCCATGAAGGGTCCCCTTCTTCTGCCATCCCAGTAAGTGATCTTCCAGGTCACCTCAGAGTCATTGATGAGCATCTACACCTCACAGGATGTGCTCTCATACTCACCTTCTTCTATGTCCTGGGAGTAGGAATCAGAGTTAGCCTGACTCAAAGAGCCATATATCTGAGTCTCATACAAATAGACAATGGACAAGTGTGAAATATTGAACTCATATATTAGTGAAGATACCAATAAAATGGTGATGCTTAAAAAGCAGGTAAAAAAATCAAAGTATGTGCAGTTCACCAAGGAAATAGGTTTTGAAGAAATATTTTATTATGTTGGAGATACACTGCTAATTTTAACAAGTGAGAAATCACATAAGAGGAAAAAAAAGTTTTTCCTCCATGGATAGGGACATGTCTTCATGCGGGCAAGTCAGTGCTCTTCACTTAATTCTGACCTAAAAGGAATCTGTGTAGAGACACAACCACAGCTCTGACCCATAAACAACCAAGAGAGCCATAGATAAACTCATCCTGAAGAGTCTGAGTAGAACATGCAGTCTTCCCTGAGGTGATAGGAGGTGACATAGGGAACACATAGAGTCAGGAAGCTGAGGATCTCATTTGTATGGACTGGCCCTAATGCAGGGGATAGTGGGCAGAGGGGTGAGGAGGCAGAAGCTATGTTTGATGGGCTCTGGTCCCCTGTCATACAATGGTGTGTCTGAGGCTGGACACCAGGGGATGCTCAGGGCCCATTTATGAGGGTTCACAGTGAGTGATCAGCAATGGGAACTGCCACCTGGCCCTGCTTGTGACTTCAACTCAGGGATCACATCTGTGACCACCCAGCCCACATCTTCAGGCAGAGGAACCTGACTCAAGGCCATTGAGGAGTCAGAAAGATGAGGATCTCATTTGCATGGATAGGCCCTCCCTCTCCCATAGAATGAAGAGGGGTACAGATTAGGGGAGGCTCTGTTCAGCTCTAGGGCCACAGAAGGCAGGATCTGCAATGACTTCCACCATGTTCTGGTGCCCTCTCCTCCTCACCCTCCTCGCTCACTGCACAGGTGACTGGATGTGGGGACAGGGGAAGGGACCCTGGGAAGTCATATGTTGTCCTATTTCCTCCTCTTGTCTCTATACTCCAGCATCATTCTCTCTGTATCTCTCCCCCTTGCAGGGTCCTGGGCCCAGTCTGTGTTGACTCAGCCACCTTCCGTGTCTGGGTCCCTGGGCCAGACAGTCACCATCTCCTGCACTGGAAGCAGCTCCAACATTGGGAATTATGGTCTTGCCTGGTATCAACAACTCCCAGGCACACCCCCTAAAACTGTCATCTATTGGGATGATAGCAGACCCTCTGGGATCCCCATTCGATTCTCTGGCTCCAGGTCTGGCATCTCAGGCACCCTGACCATCACTGGACTCCAGGCTGAGGATGAGGCTGAGTATTACTGCTCAGCATGGGACAGTAGTCTCAGTGCTCACACAGTGCTCCAGACCTGTGGGGAAGTGAGACAAAAACCTGCCCTCCTCACAGTGATGGGGTTACCTTGTGCAGACACCACCTTCTGCCATGACCACTGCTTCCCTTTTTGTTTGATGTAAAACTGGGGTCTGAAACCTGCCCCTGTGAACTTTCTTTAGTATGTATCCTCATCTTCTCAGTTATGTTGCTGAACCCTGTCCATGTAGACATCTGTTTCATGCAAACTGAACCTTAATTTCTGGATGTTGGGGCAGGTTACTCCAGGAACAGACTCCCTGAAGATTATGCTAATGATTGAGGGCTGCCATAGTGTAATACCACAGCCTAGATGGCTAAATCAATGTATCATTATTTTCTCACAGTTCTGGACACTGATTGTCCAAATTCAAGGTGTTATCAGTTTTGATTTTTTTTTTTTTTTTGAGATCCTCTCTTTGGTTTGCAGATAGTCAAGTGCTTTTGGGTCCTCACATGGCCTTTCCTCTGCATGCTCAAATCTAGAGTCTCTACCTCTTTTTATAAAGACACCAGCCCTATTTCTTCGGATAGCAACTTTATGACCTCATTTACCCATAATTAAATCCTTCAGTGCCTTATCTCCAAACATGACAGTATGAGTTAGGGTTTCCATATCAGATTTTGAGAAGACACAGTTCAGTCCATATCAAGGGATGAGGACAGACACCAGGACCACAGAGTCCCTACCTCAGGATACTCAAATGTCCAGATCCCTCACTATATTCCAGACTTGGGTCTAGGAGCTCATCTCACAGTGCAGGAAATACAGGGTGGGTCCCTATGCTCAGAGGAATTACCTAGGGGAAGAGAGAGGACACACAAGCAAAATACATTGTGTCTCAAACTGACTTCCCACATGGGGATGAAATGTCTCTGCAGTCCCAGGTAACAACCACAGAACAAAGCTTCTGGATGAGAGGAACTGGCCCTCCCTGGCTCACAGATCAAGAACCTTAGCTTTCAGGATGACTGGACCAGATCACTCCACTATCTTCCTTGACAATATGGTGACCAGGGAGAGGATTGTCTGATTGGTTTGGTTTGGGTAATACAGGACATGTTTTGTTGACTAACCATGTAGCTGAGAGATTTGGGGTCCAAATAGGAGAGGAAAATGATGGAAGTTTCACCAAATAGCTTCTCACCATCTGCATTCTCTTCCCTTCACCTTTCTTCTTTTTTTTCAGACAAATTAGATTTTATTTATTTTTTTTATTGTATTTTGTTCACCCTCTTTGAAATTAAGATTGGGATATAGGCTGTGGACTCTGGTATCTGGAGTACAGGAAACAGGCCTGGCTGTTCCCACTCCATAAAACTACACATTGTCTCCCTGAGCAGTCTGTTGTCTCTGCACCCATTCAATATCAGGGCAAGACACCCTCACTTCCAAGCACAATGTGCTGATCTGAAGTTAAGGCAGTCTCATGAGGGTTAGAAAGCAGAAAAAATGTTGCTCATAGGATGGCCTCCTAAGTTCCCAGAAACTTCAGTGTGGCCACTTCCAAACACACCACACCTGGCTCCTCTCCTCCACCAGTCCCTCTGTCAGGTGAGGACCAGACTCAGGTACAAGTACAGAAACCACTTCTTTTGTCCACACACTTCATACAGGCCTCCACCTGCTCCCAGGCTCCCTCAGTCACCTCTGTGTCATTGCTGAGTTTCCCAAACTCATAGAGTCCTGGTTACAGGGATTGAAATCACAGTCTTTCTGACACTGATTCCACCATGACTTTGCCCCTCTGGGACACAAAGCCAACTATTAAGAGTTACAATTGAACTCTCCTAGTTTTACTCCACCTTGGGCTCACCTTGTCGGTATCTTTCCAGAATGCTCCCTTTTAATTAATGGTATGTTATATCTTCAGGTCTTGTGTCATTTATTTTTCCAAGTTCTAGTCTCTTCCTTATATTTTCAAACCCTTTCCACCAATCAGATCATGATCCCAAACAATCACCTCCTGTCCATTGCCACACTATAAGCATATGTGGGGTGGATTTCAGGGAAAAAGTTTACTTTCTAGGAATCACTCCAGGACCTAAGAAAAGTCATTCTGAGGTTAAATATTTCAGACTCAGACAAAACAGTGTGACTAGACAGGGTAGACTGAGTAGAAAGATCCCTGGGATATTTCAGTCAATATCCTCCAAATGTGACTGATTGTAATTTTCAAAATATTGCAATCATGACTCTCTTATAAAGAGAGTATCAACATGGGTCACAAAATTTGACTCCTGTTTTACTTATGGAGCCAGAAAAATGGTAAAGTATTTTAAAAATTATTTTTTAAATACAGTAATTAGATTCCCCCAAGATAAGTCAAAATAAGGGAAATTTCTGTGTTGAAGATGAGCTCTTTCACGTTTTAAAGGGTAGTAAATTATGAGCCATGCACTTGATGGAAGGAGCATTGGGTGTTGAATGTAAGTGATGAATCATGAAACTCTACCTCTGAAACTAATAAAAAGTAAAATAAATAAAAATAATAAAATTTATAAATAAATTAAAAATAAAATTAAAAAAATGAACTTTGGATTTATCTCCTCCTGTAAGAAAAATCAGCATTATCTCTTCATGTGAAATGTTAAAGGAGGCCATCTAGACGTTAGAATGCCCCATGTTAGACTTCCCATCTGATCTCCTCCAAAGGGAAACTATTTTCCCTCCATCTTCATGCCCCTAGCTTTCCCTGCTCCCCCTTTGCCACATAGCCCTGGCCTGACTTCCTTTCCAGGAGCCTGCAGACATCATGCTGATCCAGTGAGCAAGCCCATTGACCCAACCAACCAAAGCCCACCTTGCTGGGCTCCTCCGGCCCTTCTCTGCCTGAGTCTCCTGTTTCTGAATGCTCATGCCCTTATTGCTGAGGTTCCTCTTCCCCTGGGTCATGTTATTCATCTCTGTCTCCCTCTGTTTATACCCACCAAGTGGACTCTTCATCTAAACCCAAGGGACCTTTGAGTCATGTTCTTGCCCCCTCTTCTCTCCTGTTGTCTCAGGTTCCCTTTTCCTGGGATCCCATCTGGCTCCATACCCTGATCCATGGGTGCAGCAGTGCAGTCTCTGGTCTCTCTGCATCCAGTGGTGAAGGTGAGGTAGGGAGGTCCCTATTTGCCTCCCCCACTCTTGCTTCTTCTTCAGTGGAAGGTCCATGAGGCAGGGGGTGAAGCTGTCAGGCTCAGAGTGACTTCCACTGACAACCACTGCAGCCAGCACCAGGCAGGGGTTGAATAAATAGTTACCATTGCAGACATTCCTCTCACCACTCAGGCCACATGATGCTGGGCCAGGATGGGGACCTGAAGGGGGGAGAGTCAGCTGTGTACATGCTTCTTTCTCTGCCTGGACACTGAGAGGAAAGAATCCAACTCCACTCTCAGGCCTCTGAGCTATGATGATTTGTTTGCCCAGGGACCAAAAGGGGGCACTGTTGGCCTGTTCTGTGGTCCTTACACAGCTGCTCAGTGAGGACCATTCAATCAAAGGAGCCTGTATTTGGAGGCTGGGCCCTTTGCTCCCTGATGAGGACTCAGTGGCTGTAACATCACTGGCCTTGCTGAGTCCCCTGAGTAGGGACCTGTGTGTGATCTCAGCAGTCTTCCCAGGGCTGAAGCCAACTACTATCATTCTCAGTGTGTGGTGTGAGTTGAGCTCCAGCACCAGGGATCAAGGAGGAGCTGGGCAGTCATTGGATGGACCCCATGTGCATGGACAGCCCCTCCTGTGACAGAGGATTGAGGAGGAAAGGAGACCGGGGATAGCCCACCCAACTGTGGGGACTGGAGCCTGTGTCACCATGCCCTGGATTTTTAGCTCTTTGTCCTAATCTGTCACTGCACAAGTATGGATTGGCCTCAGGGACACAGACCAACCTATCGGCCTATGTCAGCCACTCTGGCTTAGAAGTTTGGATAAATTTAATCTGGTCCCTGATGAATCACCCTTAAATGTGTTTGCAGGTTCCATGTCCCAGTCTATGCTGACTCAGCCGCCCTCTCTCTCTCTGCATCCCTGGGGTTATCAGCCAGATTCACCTGCACCATGAACAGTGTGGCGACTTCTGCCTTACCCTGGTTCCAGCAGCAGGCAGGAAGCCCTCCTGAGCATCTGCTGAGGTGATACTCAGACTCAGCATTTCTCTGTGATCCCCAGCAACATCTCTGGCTCCAAAGATGCCTTGGTCAATGCAGGGCTTTTGCTCATCTCTGGGCTGCAGCCTGGGGATGAGGCTGCGGATTACTGTACTACAGCCCCCTGAAGTGGGAGCAGCTTTCATTACTCACAGTGTCTCACATAATGAGGAAGTTGGTCAAAAACCTCTGGACCCAATAATCTTGTTTTTGATACTCTTTTCAGTAAAGAAACTTACCTGAAGAGACATAGCAGGGTTGTCTCTTCTGCATAATGATCTATCATTCAACAGGGAAAGAGAGTGTAATATAATGCATGTAGAGTGGACAAATGGGGAGATCCCAGGAAGACACAGACAGTTGATGTATCAGACCTTAACTGTACATCATCACTCAATCTGGAGAAGATGAACAGGAATAAGTACTGTGTCTACAACTGAACATGCACAATACAGAATCATTCATCCACGATCAGTTTCACTATCTCATTCCATAAAGTGTGACCTAGTGTCACTGCTGATGTATCCACAGCTGATACACTGATGATAACCCTGGTCACAGACACACTCTTCTCCCTCTGAACCAGCTACACGTGAACTTGGACCAGATCCTATAGACTCTCCCTGACAACCCCCACATATCCTCCTGCTCTTCTCCTCTCTGCTCCTGCATCCCTCAGGCTTCAGTCTCTCCCTCTGGTTTTTCAGTCTGAACTAAATCTCCATGTCAGGGTTTCAGGGAAAACTGGAAATGATTGTGTTATAGATTCCATTCTCCAGGGTCCATATCTAGGGAAAAGAATAACCAGAAAAATATTCTGCATGGAACCCTTCATATTCTTCATCTTGTTTCTGTCACTCAAGAGGACCTGGACTTCTAATCCAGAAAATTGTAAAAGGGTCTGCTCTCAAATTAGTCATCACTGCCTAAATAAATCCTTCCCCCTGGAGAACATAGGGCCCCAGGCTCAGTGTTGGTCCCTTGGAGCCTAAGGCACATGTTAATATGGGACACAATCCCCTGTTTTCTCAAGGCTGGGTGGTCACTCACTCAGTCATCCCCCTGACACCTTGAAAGAGGCTGGACTTCTGCTGAATCCTCCATTCTGACAATGGGCCGCAGGGCTCTGATATCAGGGACATGGTTCTTCTTATCTCCAGCTCTCCTCCACTTGGATATGGGAACTTGGACAGAAACTTCCAGTCTAGTTGATCATGGGTAATAGAACTTCATTTGTCATGGGTGGCTGAGTGAGCAATTGTTCTGTCCTGAACATGCTGAACTCAAGGCACAGGGACTACAGTTATGTGCTCCCCTGTGTCCAGTCTGATCCCAAATCTTCCCTTCCTGGAGGCTCTGTCTGTGTTTGATAATTCTGTCTCTGAGATGGCTCTGAAGTTTATAGAAATAGTTTCTTCTTGGGATTCACAGTGCACCACATCAGCTTTTTTGTTGCAGGACCAGATTTTAGGAACAAGTTTATAGGCTCCTACTCAAGTGAAAACAGAAGGCAATTATTTCCCCCTTTTTCCCCATCCATGCTTTTTTTTTTTTTAAAGATTTTATTTATTTATTTTACAGAGAGAGATCACAAGTTGACAGAGAGGCAGGCAGAGAGAGAGAGGGAAGCAGGCTCTCTGCTGAGCAGAGAACCTGATGTGGGACTCGATCCCAGGACCCTGAGATCATGACCTGAGCCGGAGACAGCGGCTTAACCCACTGAGCCACCCAGGCACCCACCCCCATCCATGCTTTTAACCATAAATTCCATCCATTTTCTCTCTGTGACAAATAGAGATTTGACAAAAGTACACTAGTCATTGTACTTACACATCTCTTTGTCATTGCCGCTGAGTTTAAATCAATCTGACTGAGTTAAATTTGGATAAACTAACCTGCATTCATTTCAAGTGTACAACTGGCAAAGTGGTTACTAATAAATAAAATGTGTCACTGCATCACTGTCACATCAGCAGTGTCACTCCTCCCTTATAGGACCTCCCACAGGTTTGTCCCTTGTACTCTGTGGTCAGTGCCACACACACTAACGTGGCACTGACTTGTGTCTGTGCTGGGAGGACAGATCTTAGGAGGGAATCACTGCCCAGAGTGTCTGGAGAATGTTGTTAGGAGCAGGTGGAAACGGTGACAGATGACAAAGATGTTCAGTGAGTATCACCTCTCAGAATGCACGTCACGATTTCTACACACAACCTGGAGAAAAATGCTCTCCATCTCCTCCTGCTTGTGTTGGAAACCCCGGAGGAGTCACATAAAAGAAGAGGCTCCGCATCTTCCACCCAAGGGCCCATGAGTCCATGGGGACCTGTCATTGCACTGAACTTCATCCTGATCTAAGGGGAGTTTGTGCAGAGACACTGTTTGAGTTCTGATCCATGAGAGCTATGGACATACTCACTCTGAGGTTCTGAGTCCAGCATAAAGTCTGTCCTATGATGATGGGAGGACACATAAGGGGAGGCCTGGCCTGGCTCTAATGCAGTAGACAGTGGTCGGTGTAGTGGGAATGCCACTCTCTGATGAACTCTGGTCAACATGTCACACAAGGATGTGTCTGAGTCTGGACATCAGGGGGTGCTTGTGTCCCATTTATCAGGGCTCAGAGGTGATCAGATGTGGGACGGGCCACCTGGCCCTGACTGTGTCTGGGTTCACAGCTGGAACATCCCCACCCCTGGCCCCACACAGACCTTCCTCTGCCCACACCCACGACATCCTCAGGCAGATGGACTTGACCCAGGATAGGAGAGGGTTCAGAGAGTTGGGAGTCTTATTTACATATATGGGCCCGCCCACTCTCACAGGATGAAGAGGGAGAGAGAACTGAAGAGGCTCTGCTCAGCTGTGGGGCCACAGAAGGCAGGATCAGTGATGACTTGCACCATGACCTGGTCCCCTCTCCTTCTCACGCTCCTCATTCACTGCACAGGTGACTGGATGTGGGTATAGGGGAAGGGTCCCTAAGGAGGACATATGAGGTACTATTTCTCCTCTTGTCTGCAGACCACAACATCATCCTCTCTGTGTTTCTTCCTTTTGCAGGGTCCTGGGCCCAGTCTGTGCTGACTCAGCCACCCTCCGTGTCTGGGACCCTGAGTGGGAGGGTCACCATCTCCTGCACTGGAAGCAGCAACAATATTGGAGGTTATGGTGTAAGCTGGCAACAACAGCTCCCAGGAAAAGCCCCTAGAACCATTATCTATGCTAATACCTATCGACCTTCAGGGGTTCCAGATCGATTCTCTGGCTCCAAGTCTGGCAGCACTGCTACCCTGACCATCACTGGACTCCAGGCTGAGGACGAGGCCGAGTATTACTGTGCAACATGGGACAATAGTCTCAGAGCTCACACAGTGTCACAGGCCTGTGGGGAAGTGAGACAAAAACCTACTTACCCATTTGCAAAGTGAATGAACACCCCAGAAGCTGCCTGCTTAGTCTCCCCCTGTGATTCTCCTTATTCTTTCATTGACACCCTGGCCCAGGTTGAACCTGGGTCACCCCCTGGGAATGGTGGTTGCTTCTCTCCTTTCTGCTCTCACAGTCACTCAGAGGAACCCATTTGTAGACAAAGGGTCTCAAAGGAAATACAAGGTTTTTCCTCATGAGTTGGAACAATTTACTTCTAAGCTAGTGTACATTCATTTATCATCTTCTGATTTTTCAGTAAATGGAACTCTTTCAGGTCATGAGGCCAGCATGGGCCCTCAGCACTGCTCCTGCTGTAGCTCTCTGTGCAGCTGGAATAATTTCTGGTTTAGCTTTAACCAGATGACCAGTTCTGGTTAGTGTTTGATGTTTGTATGGAATACATAAAAAATGCCAAACTCAAAATTATAAAAGCCAAAGGGGGGAAACATACACACACACAAGAAAACCTTTCAAAGGAAAAAACGTCATGTGAATGCTTATGGAAACTATTCATAATCTCACCTCAAAGCAGTAAAAAACCTGCATACTAATTTTCATACCAGCTTTTCATAAAATGACCAAGGCTTGAAGTAACAAAGTTGTCCTCCAATATGACGGGATATCAGTCAGAACGTAAAGGAAATACGCTCTCAATTCTGAAAATATGCATGAATTTTAAAGGTCCATTTTTTAGGAAAGAAGATCATCTAAAAGGCTGCATTATGTATAATTGTGGTTGTATCACATTTTGGATAAAGCAGGAATCCAGAGGCAGTAAAGAAGCCAGGGATTGACAGGAGGTGAGGATGGAGGAGGAGGGTGCATATGTGAAGCAGCGACTGTATTTGTGGTGGTTTCACTCTTGTGCAGGGCACTGTGATGGTGGCCGCACTGTGTAGCTGGGTTGTCACAGCCCAGTAAACTCTACAGCATAGCGAAAGCATCTTAGTGCATGCGTAGAAACTCATTTAGGAGTCTGGGGTCCATGACAGAGGGCACAGCACGACTTCATCCTGTCCTCTACTCTAAAAATATATGAACTTGCCTCCCTGAAGAGGGAGGGAAGCAAGGTGTGGACCTGGTAGTTTGAAAGGTGTTTTTCCAAAGGGGAAAAGAAACTTCACATAAGCCTCTTATTCCCACTGACAGAGTTGTGTCCCATGGGGTTAGTGGTCAGTAATGTGATGTTTCTAGCTGTGCCCGGAATAGAACAAATAAGTCAATAATTACAGATGGTGGAAGCCAGTGTTCTCCCTTCAGTAACAGAAGTTCATGTTTTGTGCAGGTTTCAGCCTCTCCATAACCAGTGTTGTGGTTGGACCCGCTCTTGTGGTCCTTGTTATGACTGCAAGACACCCTTCTGCTATAACACAGGAAACTTTGAAAAATGAAGGTGTATTATTTACAAGACCTGGAAATTATAAAACACAGCTGGTGCCACAGAGGTCATGGGAGGACAAAGCGAGTCTGTGCCCTCCCCACCAAGAGTGTGGACAGAGACCCAGGTGACAGAGGAACGACTTGGGGTGAGACACAGAGTTCAAGACACAGAGAGACAGAGAGAGACCAAACCTCTAGGGACCCACACTGTAGTCCTTGGGTGAAAGGACTTGGGTGAAAGATCTCTTTGTCTTTCTGCTCCCAGCCCTGGGGATAGTGCTGACACCCTGCCTCACTCTAATAATGGAGAAGCATGGCGCCATGGAGGCAGTTGGAGACAGCTCTTGGGGAGGAAACACAGCGGGGGATTCTGAGTCAAGAGAGGCCATGAAGCTACAGCCTAAGGAAGGCTGAGTGTACCTGTCTTCTGTGGAGACTGGGCAGGGGAACCATACACTGGAGGCAAGGGTGGGGGACTCTGCTCTGGGCTCTTGTTCCCTTATGTCTGTCAGCGGGGACCATGGTTGAGGGCAGCATGGGCACTGTGATCCTGTCCCTGGGTCCATCGTGTGATGACAGCTATGGAAACTGCTCCTGCCTGAGTCTGGGCCCAGGGCCAGCTGCTTTCATCTCAGGACCTCTAGGGCTCATCTGGGTCCTCAGAGTCCCCTCCCCATGACAGACACCAAAAAGAGGAAGTAGGGGTGCAGACTAGTGACCAGAATTCAGTGCCCCTCCCCCTGGGGACTGAAGGGGATGAGAGAGAGTCTGTAGCTCTGCCTCCCCGTGACTTAAGTTCCTGCAGATGTGCAGGTGGGGTGAGAAGTTGGGTTCTTCTTTGTTCCCATTTCTTCATGATGCCCACTGTCCCAGGCACTTCAGCTTGACCTTGGACATTCACACTCATTTTTCTAAATGACTCCTCCTGCCCCTGGCGTGTGAAGGTCTGCAAACATCACCACCAAACTCATCTTCATTGTCTTCAGCCCTCCCAGGAACATTTATGTGGGAAAGTCAAAGAGGGGTTAGTCTTATCTTATTCTTTCACCCAGCTCACCACTTGAGAGCCTGAACAGAAGGTAGGACGTCTCTAACACACATGCTGCATGAATGATGAAGGGACTGAATATGGGATCCAGCCTGGACTGAGAAACTCTGCTTCCAGAACTCCTGTCACCCACTCTGTACATGGAGACAGTGTCCGGGTTTCTGTCCCAGGTTCCTGTCCCTCCTATATGTCCACACCTGTTCCAGAGACTGGTCATCCCAGCTGGACACCAGCATCACTGAGGTCATTGCTTACTGCCACTCAAGGTCAGGGTCCACCATTTCTGAACTTTAAATTCTGTATTTCTGCTTGTTTCCCAGATCTTCAACTCTTTCATGAACAGATAAGCATCTTGCTATCTAATTTTCCACTGCAGTAAACAGCAGCATCACCCAATGGGTCAGTCAAAGCAGAAACTCCCAGTTCGCACTAAACTCTTCCTCCTTCTCTCCCCGAGTTCCTTGTGCTCCACAATCCTGAGCATGTCCTTTGAGCACAGCTGCCTTCATCCTTGCCTCTTGTTTCCTGCGTCAGTTGTTCTTCCCAGACCACACAGGGTCTTCAGTCTGTTCAGACTGTTGTGTCCATCCTCCCATTCTGGGTTCACATTGTCACCAGATGGATTTCCTTCTATGAAATTGCTATGTCTCATCCTGGCTTGAGTGTATTCATGGGCTGGTTTGAGTTTTCCTTCTATGACTCCATGTGCAGGACATGGTCACTCCTCTCTTGAGATGAACTTGGAAGGCCCTTCCTTGGAGGAGCTCTCTCAATGTCCTAGGAGGTGAGATAATCTCACTCTTTTGTATGATTTCAGTTTTCTGGACATTCCCATCCTCCTGGGAGTGCTTATTTCTTGATGACTTACCCTCATGTTGGAAGCTTCTCAAATTGCAGACATTGTATTCATGTTCTTTCAATCAGACCCAAAATAGTGCTTCGCAAAGTTGTTTGGATCATTGTCGAAGACCGTTAATAGATCTGGATGTCAACCTCAAGACGCTGAGGCTGCTGCAGCCAGGAATGCAACCAGCAGGGGGCGTTGTGAATCTAACTGGGCCCTGCAATGGGACCCTGCCAGCTGGGGGAGCCTCTGGCTTCAGGGCTGGGCAGAGGCTGAGCTCTCTCCTGTGGTCTCTGATGAGATGCACCAGCCTGGTGCCTCAGGGCCTGGTGGAGGCTCCTGTGCATGATTCTGTGGGTGTCCCCACAGTTGCTCCCTCCATCCCCTCCTGGATCCCACTCACAGCAGGCCTTCCCTTAGACTTCTTGTTCTCAGGTCCTATCTCTGCTACTGAATCACTAATCAAGTGGGGTCTGTGAGGGTCTGGAAGGGGAGGCAAATTTGCATTAAAAAGCATTTTCATTCCCCTGGGAGAATTAGGGAGGATAAGACAAGCCTGTGACAGGCCAGCTTCACTGTGGGTTTCAGAGGCTGTGTCACCATGGCCAGGACTCCTTTCCTCCTCTTGATCTTCTCTCTCTGATCAGGTAGGGCCATCATCTGACTTCTCAGGGAGACTCCCAGATACTCTTAATGCCTAAGCATCAGAAACTCCCAGCATAAATGTCCCATCACCAATGAGTGACAGCCTTTGCAGTCTCTCTGTCCCAGCCTGTGCTGATCCAGCCACCCTCCTTCTGGGCATCTCCAGGAACAAAGGTCAGACTCATCAGCACCCTGAACAGGGGCATCAGTGTTGGCAGCTATATGATGTACTGATAACAGCAGTAGCCAGGGAGCCCTCCCAGGTTTTCTCCGTACTAATAATCAGTCTCAGAAAAGCAGTGGGGACATGGACAGAGAGAGAAGATCAAGAGGATGAGAGGAACCAACAAGGGAGAAGACTGATGCTCCCCTCTCTCCCACTTGGAAGGGCCCTGAGCCTGCTCTGGCAGGACTGGGAGCAATGACCTTTCCAAGTGTGTGACTCTCCTCCACTGTGAGCCTTTAACCCCCTGGAGAAACTAGATGCTGTTCTCCCTCAGCCCCTGGGGAAGCCAAGTCATCTCCTCATCTTCTCAGGAAGAACTCTGACTAGAACCATCACCAACCCAGAGTGATGCGGGGATTAGACATGGGGGGTGGTGGCAGAAGCATATTTGCATGAACTTATATTCCTAAGAACAAAGGAGAAGAATGACTGAAACTTGGTGTTCCCAGTCCCAGAATGGGCCTCAGGAGGCTGTGGCATTATATTTCCTGCATGGCTCCATGTTCCTTTGCAACATACAATCCGCATGAGATCACTCTGTTACCCAAGTGCAGCTCACTGAAGAGTGCCTTCCCTCACTGCAGGTGGTGTTGCCATCTGAGTCCTATCTGATGTGGGATTCCAGAAGAGTCACCTGCTCCCTCCTTGGCATCTGGAGCAGCAGGAACATCCAACTCAGCACAATTAATATCCCTGTCCAGCTGACTAAATATCAAGTACAGTGGGAATGAGGTTCTTCTGATGGGGAGAAGTGCTGTGGGGTGTCTGGAGAGGAGTAAGGGGGTGGAACTCCCACAAAATGGAAGACACAAGGTGTGTAACAGATGACAATTTGCTCAACTCACAAGGACATCTC